GAATAAGATGGAAGAGAAATTTCTTTATAAATGCGATTTTTTTCTGTTTCTTTCAAGGTCGCCGATTTTTTACATGAATGTATACAGGGTGTCCCGTAACTCCTCGAACACTCGGAAATGGGGGGTTGTTGGGGTGACTCTGAACAACTTTTTCCTTTACCAAAATGTTGAAAACACTGGCCAATCAGAGCGCGCGTAGAGCGTTCCTCACCCACCTCACGTATAAAAATTTTCTTATATCACCGTAGCTAGAGAAGATATGTAATTAGGTGGTCTGTTTTACGTATTGACAGTCTTTCCAAACCAGTGTGATGCTGATATAAAACATTTGCCATCTTTACTGTTTGATATTGCTTTTTACAATTATAAAATGAAATGGACGAAAGAAAGAACCGCTTGTCTAATTGAATTGTTCCGGGAGAAATGTGTCTTATGGTATCCTACGCCCATAAACTTCGAAAGCAGAAGTACGAAGCGTAATGCGTGAGAGAAATACAAACTTGTTACTTTTGTAACAAGGTTACAAAATAATTTGTATTACATAGACTTAGCTTAACTCTCGGGTATTAGTGAAACTTTGCAGGTCGATAAAGTATGAGAAGTTGTACGAAATTCAGCCGATTGTAAATTTGAAGTTAGTGTTTTTTTGGACATTTAATGTATTGGAGCTTAATGATTGATAATTAACCCTAGAACACTAACATGGGAAATACAGTGCACCAAGTGAGGAACGACTTACCTAGAATACGAGGTGATAAAAAGAGGCCTAAAATACCAGATGAAGACAAAGAATACGAGGGACAACAGATACTCAAAGAGATGCATGGAAATCCTTCGGACACTAGATGCCAGATCTAAAGAAGAACTGGTATACCGAGATAAAGAACAAATTAAGTAAATATGGGTATGAGATTAACGCCGCTTCAGCACTAAGCGAAATCATCGAAAAAGTAGAAACCGAAATACCGGAGAAGCTCTTTAACGAAGATAGGGACAGTGAAATATACCAGCACATCAAAAAGATAACAACACGAGAAAGATCGAAATACCTAGATCTAAATATTCCTCTATCAATTAAAAGAATAATACCCCAAGTCAGACTCGCAGGAAGACAGGAATGGTGGATAAAAACAGGAATAACATATAAAATACAAGAGAACAGGACATGCGAAATGTGCAATATGAAGGAGCAAGAATCAAGGAAGCACATAATACAAGACTGCCCACAATACGCGGTATTTAGGGCAAGACCCTTAGAAAACGAAGACTGGAGAGAACTACTCAGGGTAAAAAAAGAAAACCAAATATGGGGATTAGTGAAATATATAAAGGAATGTATGAAACTAAGGGCATTCGCCCTGGAAGAATAACAGGAAATGTATGAATATAGTAATATAAATAATAATATATAGTAGACTAAGGACAAAATAGATGTAAAATATAAAATATAAAAAATGTAACTATACACATGTGGCTTATACATTATTTTAAAAAAATGATACTAGGCGTAATGCCTTAACATAATAATAAACAATAAATAAATAAAATAAATAAATTCTTTTTATATTTTCACTTCAAAAGTATCGTTAGATACCTGTTAATTTGTTTGAAACTTAAGCTAAACTATTTTTGCAATTTTAATGCTAATGAAGTTAGTGAAAAAAATACAAACATTATTTTAGGATTAAATAACGTAAGGGAAGAGAATAGTGTGAAGATTGATCACAGTCACTGTGTATTGGAACTATAAAAATCGGGACGAAGATGAAATGTAATTACGATAGAAATGAAATGAAGAGTAAAGAACCCTCTCAGTCCACGAAGAATTAGTTTAATATTGAAATGTGGTTTCTTGGCGAAAAGTAAAATGGAAAATATGCAACTTAAATTTCGAAGCTCAATTTAGTAATCACAAATTCAACATTTTCTTATCACTTATACCGAGTGGCGCATATAAAACCAACCCCAAACACAAAATACCTTTTTTACAGTTATATTTGGTAATAATATACTGTACTTACATTTGTGTTACATTTGGTGTGATAAATAATTGCACTCTTTAACTTAAAAAATCTGTAACTTTAACAATTCAACTTTTATCAGCATTTATATCTCTATTTCACGTACGCCACCCAGTATTTCAAGTAGAAATGTAAATTCTTAAATAGAGTATCGCTGATACTCAAAAAGGTGAGTTTCAAGGGGGGAAAATACACTTAAAGTGTATAACTACAAATAAGATTGGCGTTAATAGGATTGATCACCGTGGAGGAAAACTTCAAACGTCAAGAGAAACGATAATTCGCATCGAATTTTCTTCCCTGACTTTATTGCGCGTTGCATTTTCACGCGAAGGCCAGGAACTGTTGTATGAAATGAAACGTGAAAAACGAGCAGGCTACAGGAGCCGGGCTAAAAGCATCTAAAACGCTTCGAAAAGCCTCGCTGAAGTGGCGTGCTTGATCGAATCAAGTTACGGATCTTCTTTACCCCGCGCCGATGCCCGTAACGAAGAAAAAGGAATCCTTTCAGAACTTTACAAAGACCCGCTACGCTCCTCGCCCTTTTCACGCCGACAGAGGATTCCCACATAACAAATCGAACTTGTCAAACGAATTTCATCGTGTTTCATTGTCTGCGGGAATCTTTGACTTCATTCGACTTTTCGATTCACGAAAGTTCTTAACTTCCTAACTTAGAGGTTATTGATACGTTACATTCACGAATTTTCGAAAGTTCATATATTTAAACGTTTAAATTCTTGAGAATTTAAATTGTTAAATTTTGGAAACTGAAAATTAAAATTTTTGAGAATTTAAATTGTTGAATTTTTTCAATTGCTGAACTGTGAAAATTTGAAATTAAAAAATTTTAAATTG